ACTGAAAAAGTTATTTCCACATTTATATGACAATATTGCTATAAGCAGTGTTGAAAACTGGCCAATATTCAAGTTTTTTTAAAAAATAATTCAGGTTCTACCCCCTCTGACCATAGAAGTATATGTATCTCGTAGTTTAAAGCATCACAAAACAAAAGTTAAAGCTTTCATCTGGATACTGATCTCATTCTTTTAGGCACTGTATTTTACTAAAAACAATTTTCGGACCTAAGGATTTGAAGTAAATATGAATTATTTTTTAAGAGATTATGCAGCCAATAAAAGTAAATTTAATTACCCAAATGAAAACTTACTATATGAACATAAGGCCTTTCACTCCCAAATCCCTCTACTTCTGTTTTAACAGAGTTTCTGAGTGGGAGAATGTTCTGAAATCGCCCACTTTACAGCTCACTTTCTAAACCAGAAGCCTAGGATTAGAGGGATTTTATCCATGTACAGATAAGCAACAGTAGTTAAAATATCTTCTACATTTAGCCAGCACCTTTGTTCTGTTGTCCTTCCTCAAGTCAAAAAGAAGTTTCTCAAAAGGTTCTCAAGCTACTAAATGTTATATTTCAGTTTTTGTTTATCCCATCAAAACTGTGGCACCTAGAATTTATGTGTCTTCTCTTTTTCTTGACTTGAATAGAAAATATCATTCCAGAGGAAGCTCTCAATCCTAAAAACTTAAAAAATCTTTTGTATCATGAGAAAAATAATACTAGGAATAATGGTGCCATTTAGATGTACAGTCCTGCCAAATGAACTCTAACCCTAAGTTTACCAAGAGGCATATTGATGAGAATCTAGTCAATTCCATGATAATTTGGGGGCTGACATTTTGTTGGTGAATTTATAGACTAAAGATTAACTACTTTCACTAAGTGATATATCAACTCTTTATATGTGAGCAGACTAGGAACAAGGGTAGGGAATGAGAAGAAACAGGGAAAGGGAAGTGAGAAATATAGCTGATTTTTTACTCTTGGGAAGATGGGCATTTCATATTGACAATCTACTCTCAGATGCAGTAGTGAGGAGGTAGCCAGAGTAACAACCAACCCATGTAGCAGAAAAGGTCTGCTGCCTTCTCAAGGACGTGTGTAGTAATTACCAACTCTTTCTGGATACCCATTGCCTCTCCTCTTTTTTCTTGATCAGTCTGACTGCATTTCAGTTCCTCCAAGGATGGGTCACTGTTCAGAACCAATTGTTTCTTTTGCCTTTTTTTTTTTTTTACTGATTTTACCTTTTTGAGCTCCTGTAGGTAGCATACGGTAACAGTCTGAACCTAGAGAAACCTATACAGTTCAGCAATCTGTGTGTTGAAAATGTACTATTCCTAGCCTGTTTGATGCTATCAGGTGTAACATTTTCTGGTGTAATGAAATAGGGTTCAGTGTAGAATAATGAGTTCCAGGGTAAGAAAGCATGGGGTTATGTCCCATCTCTACCACTTTATAGGTGAATGTCCTTAGCAAAGTACCTTTATTCGCCGAGTCCTTATTTTCTCATTGGCAAGTGAGTGTAATAATAGCACTTGCTTCATGGGTTTTAAGTCATTATTACATGAGCTCCTGCCTCAATAGTGCTTAGCATAGAGCATGGGATATAATAGACACTCAGTGAATGTTACTGCACAAAAGAGGTTGAACAAAAAACATTGCAAATCTAATCTAACTAGAAGGTAATTGAGTACAGTACCCACGCCTTGTTTAAAGCAATTCCTTGGAAATGTGGTGAAGTGTTTAAGGTTAGTTGATACTCAGAACTCAAGTGTCAAGTGTGTAGCTTTCTGGATTCAAGCCACAAACTGGAGGGCACAGAACAGTGGCTGACTCTGATTCTAATAGCTGACAGAGCCTAACCATAATCCATTAGGCCTAAAGCATCAGATAAACTTGTGGTATTCTTAACATCAGTCATTATTAATTAATTTAAATATTAAAGCAGGGGTGCATCCCAAGGGGAGTTCCTGCCATTCAAGGAAGGGCTTATGGCTTTTATCAAACAAGGTCCAAAAACAGATGATCCATTTTGTGAAGCTCTTCCTTACAGGTTGACTTAATGAAACAGAACTTTCAAAAACTTCCCTTCTAGAATTATTGAGATTTGGCCTTTTAACTACACATCATGACTCAGAAAAAGAAAGAAAGGAAAAAAAAAAAAAGCTAAAGAATCAATAATTACTTTCTAGCCAATTACTCCTTGCTAATTTCGAGTGGACTTGTGTTTCTATAATAAAGTATGACTTGGAATTTAAAAGATGTATGCTATGTAATATAAATATTGCTCTAGTTATTAGGCTCAGTGGCCCAGTTTTGTTCTTTGTGATCTCTGCTGGTTGTATGACAGTCGTAGAGGGGTCAAAGTAGGTTAGTCATTTTTCATAGCAGTAGTTCATTCATTTGTTATTTTTTATTTGCTTTGGGTTACTCAACAATGCTCTTTCCCAGTCTTTGACATTTATTCCTGCTGGTCAGCAGATGGCATAAAAAGAAATTAAGTACTAAGTTGTAAACTGACTCTTTGTTATGCAGTCTGGTGGAAATTTTGACAGAAAAGCGGTGGTTAAAAACAACTGCTTAAAATAAAGTTTGTGAATGATGCATGGTTTCCAATAATCTATTCTTTCCTTTTTCTCCTGTACCACTGATTATCAAGATTTCAATAACTATAAATAAACTCTCCAGATGCAGAGGCTAAAACTGCCAATCAAAATTCTCTGCAGTCTTTTATGAGTTCCTGGATGAGTGCCTTCCTATTTTTTCCTGGTAAGGAAATGGGTCCAGCATGTCTTATGCTGGGTGCTTCCATATTAACTCTTTCCTCAGAATCTTCTACTTCAACATCTACAAAGTCATAAATGTTAGCTAGCTGACATATACAAAAAAGCAATATTGATACTATTGCCAAGAAATTTCTTTAAAGCGAGTCACGTTCCAAGGCAGTGTTTGCCAAAATGGTGCCATTGAAATTCAAAGGAAGTAAAAGACACACTCTTTAAATACCTCTGTGATTCCTATGAAAAGCCCATCAGTGTCCTAGTGTCTTTTTGTTTGTTTTTAAGTAGGCTCCATACCGGGCTTGAATTCAGGATCCTGAGATCAAGACCTGAGCTGAGATCAAGAGTCAGACACTTAACCAATTGAACCACCCAAGTGCCCCCAGTAGCTGAGTGTCTTATACCCCACATTGAAGTATCCAAGGGTAACATTTAACCTAGTCCCTCTTGCACTGTCCTTTCCATCTTGCTCCCTTGTTGACAGGAGAGCCCTCTGGGCTTGAACTTTTCTTACCCAAAATGCAAGGCAGACAGTGGACGAGCTACATGGATCACTGTTATAGGATCTTGAGTGAGTGAGGTTAAAATTCATAATAGTCATTAGGATGTTAGGTCAAATCAATTCCATCTTCATTTTTAATATAATAAAAAGTCTTTGACTCAGGCAGCTAAATGATTTCTCCAGGTGCGGTTCCCTGCCATTGGTTAGTCTTACTGCCTTAGTTTCTATGAGGTTGAGTTATAAATTGCACTGTTATTAGTCTTATTGCCTTGTTTCTATGAGGCTGAGTTATAAATCGGGGAAGGCTTTGCTAATCCCAGAAGGCTTTCTGAAATAGCTTTGTAGTCAAATTAAGACACAATTATTTGGAAGAAGCAGTTTCTTTAGACAATAGTTAGGAATATTAGTCCATTGCTCCTGGGGCTGGCTTCATGAGCACACAAATCTATAGGGGCCCACCGGAGGGCCTCAAGCTTGCTTTACGCACTGCTACTGCTGATGAGGGAGCAGAAGGCTAGCTGAGGACAAAGCACAAGCTGACACCCCGCAACCTCCCCGCCCCCAACAATCCCGGATGGGATTTGTGTGACATTCTTCCAGGAAGCATCCAACTATCTTAATGTTAATGCATTGCTAGAGGGAAAAACAACCTTTAACTTGACAATGGCAAGGCCTCCAGTATCCTGTGAGTCTTCTTTCACATATGAAAATCCTTTTGAAACCTCCCTTTTCTTTACTTCCCCCAACTCCCAAGTATATAATCGCTCATTCCTCACAACCCCTGTGCAGTAGCTTTTTCTGTCCACAGGTCCTGTCCCTGTGCTTGAATAAAACCACCATTTTGCACCAAAGACGTCTCAAGAATTCTTTCTTGGTCGTCGGCTCCGGACCTCACCCCACCAAACCTCACCTATATTCAAAAACCACATTACTGCCATCTTAAGATTCTTAATAATTTTATCCTTGAACTCATGCTTTTAAGTGAAGTGAAATAGGGCAATGGAACGAACACGTATTTGAACAGATAAGATACATATAATGTGCATGATGGCTGTGATTCCTTATTGCCCCATTCTCATACAATGGTCACAGTGACCCCTGAACACAGCACTCAGGTGGACCCATGATGCACAGGAGTTCACTGTAACGTGAAGCAAATCAAGGCAATATTATTAGGTTTATAACTAAGTGGGGGAAGGGCAGTCCGACAACCCTGAGAGGCCCCTTTTTCTTTTTGAAAGGGAACTTGCTTCATAAGCAGATAGAAGATAATGGAGTTCTAAGAAACACAAAACAACTAAGGAACTCTGTCATATCTTTCCTTACTCATGTTACTTCCCTGTATTAGCCAATCACATATGCTAGAAATCATGATCCAAAGGAAAGAGAGTGATCCATGGTTACCTTTTCTGTTGTCTTTCTTTACCCATCTGTAAGTTGAAGGTAGTGTTAATAGAATGTACTTGCATAGGAAGTGGAAATAAAAACAGTTGAGTTAGTATTCTGCAGCATTTCTGCCCTTCTGATAGGAATAAAATACATATGCAATGTAAGAGCTATAAAATGCAAATTGTGTGATTATGATGATTCTACATACAAATTAAAGGACTTTATATTTAAGACTAGAATGTATCAATATAAAAATGAATGGTAAAATTCATGCTAATAATCTAAATTTTTACTTTTTTCTTTATTTATAATGCAGTAAGTAAAAATAAAAAACACACGATGACAAGTCAAGAGAAAGACTGGAAGAAAGGGAAAAGTGTTCATTTTAATACCTCTAGTAGCATGCTATTTTCTGCTTTTTGAATAAGAGGTTCTACATTTTCATTTTCTTCTGGGTCCTGCTAATGATACCGCTGGCCCTCATGGCTCTAGAGTTGTTTGGGTTTTGACCTTCCCCAGTAGGTAAGGGATGGAGTTTGGGACAAAAGAAGGGGAGGTGAGACGCTAACAACTCAAGCCCCTTGCTTCCAGAGGCCCTGTGGACTCTCCTTTTTATTGTTTTAATGGAGGTCTTTCTTGTCTTTTCGAGAATTATCTTAGTAATAGTAGTTTCTAATGGCTCCCCAACCAAAGAATGGTCCCAGTATTTCTCCTTGTTTCTGATTTTCTAAATACACAGAAGCTTAAGTGAGGTTTGCTATTGTTACTTCCTAGAGAGCAAATTCAAATGTTCCATCATTTACTTTCAAAACCATTTCCTTTTCATTCCATTTTTAATCCCATAATTTGAGGTCACTAAAAGCATTTTACACATATCCTGTGGAGTTTGATTCTCTCCCTTGCCCTTTATTCTTCTGTTCTGATTTCATTTTCATTTATTCTTAGGTGCACAGCATTGCAGTCAGGATCCAGGCCTTTGTAGATATCCTGTTGGTTGCTGCTAAAGGCAAAAAAGAGAGAGAGTCACATTGCTAATGCTCTTTAAAATTCTCCTAGGAGGGACACCTGGGTGGCTCAGTCAGTTGAGCGTCCGATCTTGATTTTGGCTCAGGTTGTGATCTTAGGGTTATGAGATGGAGCCCAGCATTGGGCTTCACACTTAGTAGGGAGTCTTTGGGATTCTCTCTCTCTCTCAA